CAATTAAGTGTTCTGGAATTCCCATTCTTTGCAATGTTATCCATAATTTGTTATGATCCACACAGTCGAATGCCTTTGCATAGTCAATAAAACGCAGATAAACATCTTTCTGGTATTCTGTGCTCTCAGCCAGGATCCATCTGACATCAGCAATGATATCCCTCATTCCACGTCCTCTTCTGAATCCGTCTTGAATTTCTGCCAGTTCCCGTTTCGATGTCCTACTGCAACTGCTTTTGAATTATCTTCAGCAGAGTTTTACTTATGTGTGTTATGAATGATATTGTTCGCTAATTTCTGCATTCTGTTGGATCACCTTTCTTTGGAATGGGCACAAATATGGATTTCTTCCAGTCGTTGGCCAGGTAGCTATCTTCCAAATTTGTTGGCATAGACAAGTGCGAGCTTCCAGCATTGCATCTATTTGTTGAAACATCTTAATTCATATTCCATCAATTCCTGGAGCCTTATTTTTTGCCAATGCCTTCAGTGCAGCTTGGACTTCTTCCTTCAGTACCATTGGTTCTTGATCATATGCTACCTCCTGAAATGGTTGAATGTCGACCAATTCTTTTTGGTATACTGATTATGTGTATTTCTTCCATCTTTTTTTGATGCTTCCTGCGGCATTCAATATTTTGCCCATAGAATCCCTCAATATTGCATCTTGAGGCTTGAATTTTTTTCTTCAGTTGTTTCAGCTTGAGAAATGCCGAGCATGTTCTTCCAGGTATTTGCACATTTCATTATAACCACATTGTCTTCTCAAGCTGCCCTTTGAAATCTTCTGTTCAGCTCTTTTACTTCATCATTTCTTCTGTTCACTCCTAATAGCTGCCCACAATCCTTGGCATTCCTGAGTTTGTAGATTCATCGGCCTTCCACTTCACAGTGGTTAAGAGTCCAGCTGCTAACCAAAAGATGGGCAATTGGAATCCACCAGCTGCTCCTTGGAAATGCTATGGGGCAGTTCTCCTCTGTCCTATAGGGTCACTATGAGTTGGACTTGACTAAACGAGTTTTTGGTTTGTTTTCGTCTTCACGTGGTCTCTCCCCTTGTATGTCTCTGTGTCTATTCTGCTCTTTTTCTGAGACACCACTCAGAAGTGATTGGGTTTATACCCGCCCTCATTAACATAACAAAAGAAACCTCTATTTCCAAACAGGGTCATATTTACAGGTATTGGGGTTAAGACTTCATTCAACACATATTTTCAGGGGACATAATTCAATAGATAACAGTCATTAGTATTTTTAAAGGTGAAATCAGAATTGGGGTGTGGGCTATTAACTGCAGCCTAACCTTACTTCTATACCTTTTTGCTCCACAAACTGTGTCTTGTGCATTCATTGTTTCAAGTCAGCCCTGAATGAAATGGGAAGGAGGAATCAGACGCCCTTAGCGGGAAGCATTCTGAGACAGAGCACTCCACGCACCAAGGCTAATGGATTATCATTAGTGAATGTTAAATTATTGAATAGCCTGATGGGTAGAAGGAAGGCTCTGATAGGCTTGTCTACATACAGAATTTGAAAAATACAGATTTAAAGGTGAGTAGATAGTTTTAGAGAGGCCTCCTCAGTTACCTGCAGTCTAGCTCCCAACACGCCCTTCAGGCACAATTCTGGATGTGGTTTACTTGCGTCAGGCTGACATGGTGTAGGCGCCTGGAAGGCAGGATTTCCCCCTGGGGCAAAGAGGCCCCAGGGCACTTTGGCCTGAGCCAGGCCCTCAGGGGGGTGCTTCTGCATCCCAAGGATGGTGTGCCTGAGAGAGTTTTCCATGAATAGCCTTCGAGATAACCGGAGTGCTTGTTTTTTTTTTTTTTTTGTTTCTTTTTTTTTATTATTATACTTCAGAGGAAGGTTTACAGAGCAAACTAGCTTCTCATTAAACAGTTAATACACATATCGTTTTGTGACATTGGTTGCCAACCCCACTACGTGTCAACACTCTCCCCTTCTCAACCTTGGGTCCCCTGTTAGCTGGTTGGGATCCTGGTCATCCCCCTCCCCATGGGGAGCCCCGTAGAGCCTGGTGGTGAAGCTCATCGGCACCATCCTCAGGGAGGCCAGGCAGCCCTGGACAAACTGCTTAGTGTCTTCCGTTGAAGGGCGGTGATGCTAGCACCTGTCTCATAGGCTCCTGGGAAGAAAGAGAGGATGCTCAGACACTGCATAGCCCAGTGCCTGGGACATAGTGAGCACTCAGTAAATACTAAGTGTAATTGCTGTCATTCTGAGGAGCAAGGGCCCCAGCCCGAGGCAGGCCGGCTCTCCGAGTTCATGCAGGTTTGCCCCTCTCAGCATTCCCATGGTCATTTTCTCCTCAGGAGTTCATCCGCCTGGGAAGCCTCAGCAAGCTCTCCGGGAAGGGGCTACAGCAGCGCATGTTTTTCCTGGTAAGTGGTGGGACCTGCTTGTCCTCCGTGTGACCCAGCAAAGCCCATGGAACCGTGGGGTGAGCGAGGGTCACTGGGCTGAGACTCTGCCACCAGTGGGGCCCAGACAGCAGGAGCAGTGACTTAGTCACTGGGATAAACCAATTGTAATGAAAGGTTTCTGAAAACATACTGACTGTCTGTAGCGGTTTCAGCTGGAGCGCCCTTCATCTCAGCCATGTTTGCTCCTTGCTTCTCTAGTTCAACGACGTCTTGCTGTACACAAGCAGAGGGCTGACAGCCTCCAATCAGTTCAAAGTCCACGGGCAGCTCCCCCTCTATGGCATGACGGTGAGTGTGTGCGTGGGTGCCAGATTGAGGTGTTCCTTCTGGCCGCATTTGGATAATTAAACCAGTTAACCATAAAACCCAAATCTGCTGCCGTCGAGTGGATTCTGACACATAGCGAACCTATAAGACAGAGTAGAACTGCTCCATAGGGTTTCCAAGGAGTGGCTGGTAGATTTGAACTGCCAACCTTTTGGTTAACAGCCGAGCTCTCAACCACTGCGCCGCCAGGGCTCTGAGTTAACCATAGGTGTATGTATGTGTATATGCATGTATGTGACTGTATGCACATATATTCATATACATAATAAGCACATTTGTTGTTGTCGTTAGGTGCTGTCGAGTCGGTTCTGACTCATAGTGACCCCACGTACAACAGAACGAAACACTGCCCGGTCCTGCGCCATCCTCACCATCGTTATGCTTGAGCCCATTGTTGCAGCCACTGTGTCAGTCCATCTCATTAAGGGTCTTCCTCTAAGCACATAGGGGACACAATTACAGATACTTCTTAGACATAACCAAACACTTCACAGGATTGGTTTCCTGGGTTTGAAGGATTAGTACCGTAGTCTTGTGGGACATCTCAGTCAACTGGCATGATGTAGTTTCTAAAGTTTATGTTCTGCATCCTAGTTTGGTGAGGAGTGTTTGGGGTCTTAAAGTATGGGAGTGGCCGTCTAAGATACAACTGTTGGTCTCTACCTGTCCGGGGCAGAAGAGAAAGAATGAAACCAAAGACTCAGAAGAAACTAGTCTACAGGACTAATAGTCTGCACTAACCACAGCCTCATCTACCCTGAGACCAGAAGAACTAGATGGTGCCCGGCTACCACTACTGATGGTTCTGACCAGGGCCACAACCACAATAGATGGACCCTGATAGAATGGGAGAAAAATGTGGAACAGAACCTCAAATTCCTTTTAAAAAAAACAAAACCTACTGGACTGGTTGAGACTGGAGGACTCCCCGAGACTATTGCCCTGAGATACTCTTCAGACTTTGAACCAAAACTAACCCCTGAGGTCACCTTGTAGCTAAAAAACAGACTGGCTCAAAAAATAATGAATATCACCAGTGAGTGCTATGCTCTTTAAAAAATCACCTATATAAGACCAAATGGTCAACAATAACTTTAAAACAAAGATAAGAATGTTAGGGGCCGGGAAATTAGATTAGTGGAAGCAGAACAACCAGAATGGCAATATCAAGAATATTCTGAATTGTGAGGAATGTAACCAATGTCACTGAACAACTTGTGTAGAAATTGTTGAATGGGAACCTAAACTGGTGTGTAAACCTTCACCAAAAACAAACAAACAAAAATTACATAAAAAAAAAAAGTTAACCAGTTGTTGTCAAGTCAACTCCAACTCACGGTGACACTATGCATGTCAGAGTAGAACTGCGTTCCGTAGAGTTTTCAATGGCTGATTTTTCGGACATAGATCACCAGGCCTTTCTTCCAAGACACCTCTGGATGGACTGGAACCTCCAGCCTTTCAGTTAGCAGCCAAGCACATGAAGCATTTGTACCACCCAGGGACTTGCCTTTAGATACAGGCCAGAAAGCAGAAACCACAGAGACTGAACAGTGAGGAGGGAAAAGGAGAGGATGTGCAGGTATCCCAGAAGCCAGCACTACGTGAGAAGGCTAGGACGAGACTGAAGACCCTTCCACCCAAGAGGACAGACCTCATCAGGGCTTTTCTAGGGCAGCGTGTGTCTGTTCCTTCTAGAATCCAGTGGAGAGCCAGGTTGCCTTGAGCCATGTGGGGTGATTTTGCCCCTCACTGCCCTGTGCCTTGTTCCTGCAGTCCTGAAAGGCAGTTATTACCATATATATGGAATAATAGTAATAATAGAGACCCCAATCAACAGAATGGAGCCCTGGTGGTGCAATGGTTAAGACCTCGGCAGCTAACCAAAAGGTCAGCAGTTCAAAACAACAGCTGCTTCTTGGAAACCCTGTGGGGCAGTTCTACTCTGTCCTATAGGGTCACTCTGAGTTGGAATCGACTTGAAGTCATCGGGTTTGGGTTTGTTTTTTTTTTAATTAACAGAAACTAGACCAGAACACATCCCCCCAGGTTGTGTTCATAGGTGGGTGTCTGTTCTGGAAGGCCTCCGTCAGCAGACGCAGGCAGAATTCCTGCTGCACAGGATCACTCTCCTGCCTGACACCAACTCTCTGTTCCATGTTTGGGTAGAAGGAAGCTCGTAGGCTCTGCCGAGAACATTCCGTCACCTTCCTTTCCCTTTGCCGCTTTTGGTGTTTCTTGCCGGGAGCCCCGTCTCCTTCCGCAGGGGCTGCCCAGTTCCCCCCGCCCCGGCTGAGTTGTCTGACTTTCTCTTAGCAGCTGCCCCGATGACCTCTTTAGTGAACAGGTGAAAGTATGTTGTGCGTCTCGCTCCCTGGCAGGCAGTAAAGGTGTGAACTTTTGTCTCGCTGCAGATAGAGAAGAGTGAGGACGAGTGGGGGGTGCCCCACTGCCTGACCCTCCGCGGCCAGCGCCAGTCCATCATCGTGGCTGCCAGGTAACGCAGAAGCGACCCCTTAGTTCTTTACCTCCTCCTTGCTGTGGTCTGGAAACCTGACAGCATTCTATGCTCGCAGTTCTCGATCCGAGATGGAAAAGTGGGTTGAGGACATCCAGATGGCCATTGATTTGGCAGAGAAAAGCAGCGGCCCCACCCCGGAGTTACTGGCCAGCAGCCCCCCTGACAATAGTGAGTATTTGGGGGGGAGGTGTTGCTCCGCGCCCATCGCCTCAAGGAATTACCGGTGGAGGGAGAGGGGATACTTCTGGTTTTTCCGGAGAGCGTCATGATGTATTTAAAATGATTCTTGAGGGCTGCATTTGTGTATAAAGTTAAAATCAAGGCAATTCCTTTTTCTAAAGGTAATATCCTTAAGAGGGCGTAAGGGCGGAGGGAAGTTACCTTTTGCTAGCCAGCCCTGCCGCTTGTAATACTGATGTCACGTGTGGGGGCAAACGTGGCCATCCGCAGGGGCGCCTGGGCGTAGGGGGTCGCCGGCAATGGAACTGAGGGGGCGCTCCTCCGAGGTCTAGGGCACCGCACACTGTTAGTTGGCTTGAGTCCCGCTCCCGTCCCCTTCCTGCACCCCCAAGTACGAAGCGCTACCCTCTGCGCCTCCTGCAGAGTCCCCGGACGAAGGCACGGCCGCCGACCAGGAGTCCGAGGACGACCTCAGCGCCTCGCGCACGTCGCTGGAGCGCCAGGCCCCGCACCGCGGCAACACCATGGTGCACGTGTGCTGGCACCGCAACACCAGCGTCTCCATGGTGGACTTCAGCATCGCCGTGGAGGTACCGTAGGGTGGGCGCGGGGTGACATAGCTCGGCTCCCCAGTGTGTGCTTGCCCAGGCGGGCCCCTCTGCACCAGGCTCCGGGGGGCCTGTCATCTGCACCTGCCCTTTGACAGCCCCACGGGGTTTGCTGGACGTGGAGAAGCGCGGTCCCTTCCGGGCATGATACGTTAGCCATTCGGGGGAGCTGAGTGGATGTTGTCCTCCTGTTAAATGCAAAGCGTCTCTTGGTTTCCCTTCTTCCCCGGCCTAATGCAATTACTATCAAGCCCCGTTATAGCGTCTCCAACTCATGGCGACCCCACGTGTGTTAGTGTAGAATTGTGCTTCATACGGTTCTCAATGGCTGGTTTCGGGGAAGTAGATCGCCAGGCCTTTTTTCTGAGGTGTTTCTGGGTGGACGCAAACCTCCAACCTTCTGGTTAATGGCACTGTTTGCGCCACCCAGGGACTCCCAGCTGCCTTTAAGAGTAATTGTTTCACTTTTCCTCTGGACACCGCTACCCTTTCCTTCCGTCTCGTGGGGTTAGCTGTCAGGGAAGAGCCTGTTCATACACTTCACAGCGAGCCCACACCCCGACAGGCTTGAGCACACACCCACGTGCCCACTGCCATCGAGTCCATTCCCACTTCTGGCAGCCCTGAGTAGAACTGCCCCATAGGGTTTCCAACGCTGTAATCTTGAAGGAAGCAGATGCCACATCTTTCTCCCCTGGAGCGGCTGGTGGGTTCAAACCGCCGACCTTTCTGTTAGCAGCCGAGCACTTTAACCCCTGTGCCACCTGGGTTCCTTAGAGGCTTGGACAACAGGCCCTAAATGCAGGGCAGGTGGGCAGCTCTAGGGCCGTCGTTTCTTCGTAATCCGGTTCACATGGCCCTGGGCCCACACGTGAGCGAAGGAGGCAGTAAAGAGTGTGAGACAGCACACAGCGCCGGCTGAGGATCACGCATTAGTGGCAGTTCACAGAAGAATCGGAAAAGGCGGGACGCGGGGCCTCTCCTGGTAACCTCTGGGAGTCACCCCAGAAGTTAGCTTTGGTGGGGGGACTTCCCTGGTGGCGTGACGTCCTTCCAGGCCTGACCCCCCATTCTTTCATCAGTCTCTAATCCGGGGCCATAATCCCTTTTCAGAAAATCTTCAAGCCCGGAAAGCTCTACAACTGGAAAGTTTGCTTCACAAACCATTGGCAGCAGAACTGACCGGAGTGAGGCTATTTGTAGTCTTTATCATGTTGTGTGTGAATATTCGTATTTCACTACAGAACCATTGTGTTTGACTGTGGGTTGGTGCCCCGGACCCCACTGCTGGGGGGTATTATATATAAAAAAGTTTGTCAGGTTGACTCTGGTTCATGGCAACCCATGTGTGTTAGAGTAGAACTGTGCTCCATGGGGTTTTCAAGGGCTGATTTTTGGGAAGTAGATCGCCAGGCCTGTCTTCTGTGGTGCCTCTGGGTGGACTCGAACCTCCAACTTTTTGGTTACTAGGCAAGTGCATGAACCGTTTGTACCACCCAGGGACTCCATTTTATAATAAAGGCACTGTATTACCTTTCTAAGACCTGAAAAGTTCTCAACTCCTAAACATGCCCGGCCTCCAAAATGTCAGGCAAGAGACTGAGAGCCGAGAACAGCCATCTGTTTGCTTTTTAAGCCAACAGTACTGGAGCAGTGCCGAACGCTTCAGGATCATCTGTAGGGGTTCTCTGAAACTGTTCTGGAAGTGACTTCACAGTTTCACGCACCTGCGTTCACTGAGTTTTGCAGCTACACAAAGTGTTCTAAAATCAGTGCCTGTTCTGAAAAGCATCCTGAAGGGGCCATGTCCAGGGTGCTCCCCCTCTGCACCCCTTTCTTCCCAGCTGGCCCCTGAATGGAGGCTCTGCCATCCGGGCGGGCCTCCCCTGGGTGGGCTTTTCCTCTCTGGGCCTCTGCTTCCACCTCCCACGTCCACTGGGTTGGCCTGCAAAGCTCACCCGTCTGAGATTTCTTCCAGGGGACGTGGATTACCTCAGCGGGAGAGGGAGGGAAAAACACACCGTCAAGCCAAGTCAGTGTCTGTCCCAGTGACACCAGTGGCAGTGGAAGGCTATGAGAAACCATCTTTGTTCTCACTTTATACTTTTGCAATGTGTGAGTTATGACTGATGAGACGGGTTTTGGTAGGCTGGAAACCTGGTGGACCAGAGACACCTCCTGAAGCCCAGCTCTCTTGGGGTAACAGGCCCACAGGGTTACAGCCCTCTGACCTCCAGGATCAGGTGACAGTAGAGAGAAGGGTCAGCCAAATCCAGCCTAGTACCCGGGTATTTATGGCCCATGAACTGAGATGGGTTTGACGTTTTTAAACGGTTACTACATCATAGCTTCCGTTCTGCCTCTTGTCCAGTAAAGCCTAAAATACTGTCTCTTTTAAGAAGAATTGTGCCAACCCCTGGTACACGGTGTGAAAGGAGGGCACAGGCTGGTGTGTGTGTTTAAGGTGGCAATAATGCAGGCTTAATACAGAAAGGGCTTGTCTGTTATTGCACGTGATCCCTCCTTGCCAGGACCCCCTGCCCCAAGGCGCAGTGCTTCAGTGTGGTGTGCACAGTGGGCTGCCTTCTGGTGTTGGATGCTGGTGTGTTTATGACTAGCCCATAGACCCCTCGGCCCAGGGCCTCTGGGGACAGAAGAAGCCCCCTCTCCTCACGACTCACTGTGCTTCCTTCTCAGTCTTAGGCACGTTTTTCTCACTTCAATTCTCTGTGACTCCTGCCAGTAGAAATGAGTGACAGGGATGTTTGGGGACAACAGAGTTTGTGACAATCCAGTGGGAACTGGGTTCCTGTTAGATGTGGTCGGTCTGATGTTGGCACAGCCAGTGTGAAGTGTTGCCTGCAGGCAGGAGTGCCCACACAGGGTTCTGAGGGGAAACAATGGGCGTTGTCTTAAGGCTGGAGGTGGGAGAAAGCGAAGCCCCGTGAGGCAGGTAGAAGTTACTCTGGGGGAGGGGGGAGGGCCTGAAGTCTGACACGGGAGGACACGGGACGACGATAGTGGAACAGAGATCAGGTGGCGGGGACTAAGTAATGGGGGCCAAGAAAGGGAGGAGCAGGGGGTGTGGAAGAGGGAGCTCATGAGTAGCAGCCGGGAAACCAGGTGTCGCTGGTTCTGGGTTGAGGCTGTCAAGATCTGTAAAGGTAGCACCAAGACCTAGTGTCGGCCGCAGACAGAGGAGTCATCCGCACAGACATACGGGTTCAGCCTCTGGAGAGCAGTGACAGAAGGAAGACAGCTTCTAGGGGGCTTAGGGACTGATGCTGTGGAGGCCCCTAGGACAGCGGGGAGCAAGGAAAGACCAGCGGGTGTGACTGTTAAGAAGCATCGAGTCTATTAGAATAGCAAGGCCAGAAGTGTTTATTCCGAGATTGTACTCGGTTTGCTCCAGAAAGGATTTAAGGTGGCTGGCTGGTTGAAGTGATCGACTGCTCACAGAAAGTTCGATGGTTAGAAACCCCCAGTGGCTCCACGGAGAAAGATGGGGCAGTCTGCTCCTGTAGAGATTTACAGCCTCGGCTCAACGACAGTGGGTTTTTGGGGAGAGTTAAAGAGTTCTGACGACCCTGCATGAAAAAATACTGGCCTGGAGTTTGGATGATCTGTATCGAGATCCGTTCCTAACTGCGTTTCTAAGTGGAATGTGTACATAAGTCGGACCAGGTGCATATGGTTCTCATTTAGCCTTACTTTAGTGCAAGAAAAGGCTTGAAGACTCTTCAATGATTTAAAAGCTGCACGTGCAGCAAGCAAAGGTGATTGTGATGAAGAACTTGTCGAGAGTAGGGGTTGGTTCAGTCATTTCAAAGTGAGGGCAGATTTACCCATCGTTAAAGGGTGAGTAGGAGTTGTCAGTAAGACAGACACTCGTTCAGACCCCGGGGCCCGCCTGCACAGACACCACCCTGTGTGGCTGGCTTTGGTTTCAAAGTTAATTGCTTAGAAGAGAAATGTATTTTGGACTCAATCTGAAGGAGTTTGTTTTCGTATAAAAAATACCAATTGTAAGGGAAGGGAAGTGACCCTGCCCTGGCCTCCCGTCTGACCTTGTGCAGTCTCCTGTGAAGTCAATCACAAAAGTATTTCACCCCCACCGCGTCCCGTTTTCTTGTCCTTTTCAGCCAGTGGAGGAGAGCTGGCTGTAGCTGGCTCCTCCTGCCCCCAGGGGCCTGTGGGGGACTCCAGCTGTCTGCTCCCCCGGGGGGGCCCTCTCCCCACTTGTGTTTGGAGGGACGCCCTCTGGCTTCTGCCAAACCCTAGACCTGTGCCTCCCATCACGGAGAAGGGGTGCTTCTACCAAACCCTGTACCAACGCTCCATTCTTCATTTCTGTCTCCTCTTCAGACTGGGGGCCACCTGGGGTCAGAGACATTGGGGGGGGGGAACTCTTTTTCATCTTAACACCTGGTGCAGGAGCTTTATTTATGCGGGCACTTTACAGTGCTTACCAGATTAAACACAAGGGATTGAAAAAATAAGGTAGTGGTGGTCCCGCGGTAGAATTCTCGCCTCCCGCGTGGGAGACCCAGGTTTACGTCCAGGCCAGTGCACCTCATGTGCGGCCACGGCCCATCTGTCAATGGAGGCTTGCATGTTGCTGAACAGATTTCAGTGGAGTTTCCATACTGAGAGAGACTAGGAAGAAAGGCCTGGTGATCTACTTCCAAAAACCAGCCAGTGAGAACTTTACGGATCATGGCAGTTTGATCCTGTTGTGATGGGGCCAACTCGACAGCAACCAACAATAACAACACTGAAAAAATACCAAAGGGATAGAGTACCGTATTTTCCACAAATAACACATGCTCTTAAGTAACGCACCCACACATATAGTGCATGGAAATGATGAAATTACATAAAACCGTTCTGGCACAGCACATGCATTATTTGTGTAAAAATACGATAAATACGCCCATTTGAGTTGCAGCGGGTAGCTTACCTTTGACGAGGGGGCTGAACGAGCCCTCGTCAGGTTGTGGACAGGCCATGTCACCGTCCTCACAGCTGATAACACTGAGGGGCTTTGGGGGCTCAACAAGGACTTCTCTGTGCCCTGGGCGTCCTCCCCTGACTGCCTGTGAATTCACAACAGTGCCCTTCACCAGCAGCTACTCCAGGTCTCTGCCCGGCTCCATGCTCCAGACTCCAGGAGACCACAGAGCTGTGGAGTTAACCACAAGCAGCCCTGTGTGAGGGGGGCCTGTCCTACCTGGATCTGTTAGTTTACTTGCTGTAATCTGGGGAGGAGGAGTGAAGGGCGTGAGGACATTCTGTTGAAAGACAGCCCTGTGTGAGGGCAGGCAGTCTCCCCCAGCCCAGGGGGAGGCGCGGTGGAGTGGCCTGGGCTCGATCCTGTGCTGGGCTCACTAGATGGCAGTCTAGAGCTGCGTACGCTCGACTCAGAGAATCCAGACGCTCACTATTGTTGGGCATGACAGAAGGATTAACCAGATCAGGCTCCTGCAAACCACCAAGGGGTTCTCCAGCTCAAAGGTAGCAGTGGACCATTTTCTTAAGCCGTGGACTTGCCTCAAGGACTGGAAGCCTATTGCTCGCACCACACCCCACTGAACCCTGGAGACGGAGTCGTCCTTCCCACGGGGCTTGGCTGCACCCCATCTGCCACCTTGTGGTGTGTGTCCCTGTCTGTGCGTCTCACGGGACTCTGTATTTCAGAATCAGTTATCCGGGAACCTGCTGAGGAAATTCAAGAACAGCAACGGGTGGCAGAAGCTGTGGGTGGTCTTCACCAACTTCTGCCTCTTCTTCTACAAGGCACACCAGGTGAGTGCGAGGCAGGGGGGCTGCGGGGCTGGGACCTGCTCTTGGGACGGGGTCATGGAGTGAGTGCCCGCCCGAGGCAGGGTGGCTGAGGGGCTGGGGAAAGCCTTGGGAACTGACATACAGCACCCTCCTCCATCTGCTGGAAGGAGGGAGATCTTGGCAAGGCCTCTCATCCCACTGCAGCCTGGAGCCGCCCAGGCACGCATGGACGGGAGCTCTGGGCGTAGTGCCTGCCACAGGCCTGCTGGGCAAGGCCGTGTCCACCACAGACCCATGTTCCCTAAGTGAAGGCTGGCGGCATCCTTCTGGTGAAGGACTGCTTCAGCTTTGAAAAGGGCCTTGTCTGGACAAGGTGGGGCCGCTGAGTTGATGGCTCCCATCCGGGCCAGGACTCACTGGCTGGACCACAGTGAACTGGCAGAGACCAGTTTCCAGGCTAGAGCCCGCAGGTCTAGCAGCATCTGCTCCCCATTAGGAGGCAGGCAGCCAGGCTCAGCATCTGAGGCCACCTCTCCCAAGCCACACTCTCTGCCCCTCTCCAGGACAGTCATCCCCTCGCCAGCTTGCCCCTGCTAGGATACTCGCTCACGATTCCCTCAGAATCCGAGAACATCCACAAGGACTACGTGTTCAAGCTGCATTTCAAGTCCCACGTGTACTACTTCAGGGCTGAAAGTGAATACACGTTTGACAGGTAGGTGTTTCCCTCTCCTGTGCGCAGGGCACTTGAAGACAAAGGACACCCCTCTGCTCTACCACAGGATCCCTCCAAAGCCACCGAGTCCCCAGGCCTTCCCAGCAACAGCCACTCACCCACCCCAAGGGGCCATATCTACTCATCCACAGCCCTGAGCCCCGCGGCTGCAGAGAATGGAATGCCAGTGGGCACTTCTCTTTTCATAGAAGCAAATGCAGTTACCTTAGCAACAGCTAACGGGTTAACACCACACACACCTCACTTTCAGATCTCTAACTTGTATCATACTGTTGAATCGACTGTCACCCAATGTGACAGAGTAGAACTACTCCACAGGGTTTTCACCCAATGTGACAGAGTACAACTACCCCACAGGGTTTTCAAAGGCTGTAAACCTCACGGGAGCAGATCACTAGGTCTCTCTCCCGTGGAGCTGCTGGGTGGGTTCAAACCTCCAACTTTTCAGCTGCATCATGAAGCAAAGTTTCAGTCTGTGTGTTTAACAGAGCTGGAGACATCACACTGGCCTTTACTGGCCTGCCTTCACCTACCTCGGCCCAGAGAAATCATCAAAATAACAACAACAAAAACCTAGAGTCTTCAGTCTATGGTTTCTGCAGTTATTCAGTAATAATAATCCTGATTGGGCTATGTCCTAAAGGTTAAATTTCAGGTCAAAAGACTATGTAAGACAGGAAAAAAATCCGAGCGCTTCTTAATGTTATATCTTAAATTATTAATGAGACTACCTGCATGGTGTCATGGGTAAGAAAATGGGCCAGCACCTAGGACCTCTGTACAATCCTAGTGAAGTTAATACTGTGGAACTGAGCCCAGAAGATAGTAATTCTCAAATTTGATCCTGGACTCAAAATCTTAAGATTGACAGACTGAACGTGAGAGCTGCATTTACCCAAGTCGGCATCCTGTTATCGCTGCGGAGATTATTTAGCCTGGGAGCGGTGAGAGTGTAAGAAAGACCTGTGACTAGATTTCCGAATACAAGCCTACCTCTTCTGCCATGCAGCGTGCTCCATGAAGGCAGGAAGCTTGGTATATCCCAGCATCTCTCAGCCTCCGCACTACTGATGTTTGGGGCTGATTAACTCCTTGTTGGGGTAGGTGGTTTCCTGTGCATTATATAATGTTTAGCAGCATCCCTGGCCTCTCCTCACTAGATGCCAGGAGCACAGCCCCACCCCAGTGTGACAACCAAAAATGTCTCGAGACTTTGCCAATCTGCAAAACAGGCCCTGGTGGAGAACCACTGGTAAATCAAGTGTTCTTGTTTGTTGCTATTGAAGGCACACCATGTACAACAGAGGAAAAGGTTGCCTGGTGCTGTGCCACCTTCATGATCACTGTTACGTCTGAGTCCATTGTTGTGGCAACTGTGTCAGTCCGTCTCATTGAGGGTTCCCTCACCTTCGCTGGCCCTCTACTGAACGTGATGTCCTTATCCAGAGATTGCTATCCCCTGATGACACATCCAAAGTAAAAGAGTCGAAGACCTGGACAATGTTCTATGATCTATATGGTTCTCGTTGGCTTATCTTCATAAGTAGATCACCAGGCCTTTTTTCCTAATCTGTCTTAGTCTGGAAACACTGAAACCTGTCCACTGTAGGTGACCCTGCAGGTATCTGAAACACCAGTGGCATGGCTCTAACATCATAGCAACATGCAAGCCACCACAGTATCACAAACAGGCAGGTGGTGGATCCCCAAAATAGGACCTAGAATATATCAGCTACTCAAGTGTATAATGCCATGCATCTGTCAGTCTGTCATACTGTGGTGGCTTGCACGTTGCTGGGATGCTGGAAGCTCTGCCACCAGTATTTCAAATACCAGCAGAGTCACCCATGGTGGATGGGTTTCAGGAGAGCTTCCAGACTAAGACTGGGAAGAAGGAGCCAGCCGTCTACTTCTGAAAAAACTGGCCAGTGAAAACCTTATGAACAGCAGTGGAACACTGGATGATAGAGTGCCAGAAGATGAGCCCCCCAGGTTGGAAGGCACTCAAGACAAGACTGGAGAAGAGCTGCCTCCTCCAACTCGAGTCAACCTTAACTGCACGGATGGAGTAAAGCTTCCGGGATCTTTGTTTGCTGAGGATCTTCAAAATGAGGACAGCTGCAAACATCCATTAATAATTGGAACATGGAATGTATGAAGTATGATTCTAGGAAAATTGGAAGTCGTCAGAAATGAAATGGAATGCATAAAGATCAATATCCTAGGCATTACTGAGCTGGATGGACTGGTACTGGCCATCTTGAGTCAGATAATCATACGGTCTACTACGCTGAGAATGACAACTTGAAGAGGAATGTCATCATGTTCATCGTCAAAAACATTTCAAGATCTGTCCCGAAGTACAGCGCTGTCAGTGACAGGATAATGTCCGTATGCCTACAAGGAAGACCAGTTAATACGACCATTATTCAAATTAACACATCAATCACTAATGCCCAAAGGTGAGAAAACTGAAGATTTTTACCAACTTCAGCAGTGTGAAATTGATCAAACATGCCATCAAGATGCACTGGTAATTACTGGTGATTGGAATGCAAAAGCTGGAAACAAAGATCAGCAATTGGAAACTACTGCCTTGGTGACAGAAATGATGCCAGAGATCACATGATAGAATTTTGCAAAATGGACTTCTTCATTGCAAAAACCTTTTTTCAACAACATCAACAGCGACTATATATTCATGGACCTTGCCAGATGGGATACAGAAGAATTAAACTGACTACATCTGTGGAAAGAGACGATGAAGCAGCTTAACAGCATCTGTCAGAACAAGACCAGGTGCTGACTGCATAAGAGACCATCAATTGCTCACATGCAAGTTCATGTTGAAGCTGAGAAAATTAGAGCAAGTCCACAAGAGCCAAAATACAACCTGGAGTATATCCCACCTGAATTTAAGAGACCATTTCAAGAACAGATTTGATGCACTGAACACTAATGACCGAAGACTAGGAGTTGTGAGATGACATCATACATGAAGAAAGCAAAAAAGGCTGTTACAAAGACAGGAAAGAAAGACCAAAATGGATGTCAGGGAAGACTCTGAAACTTGAACGTAGTAGCTAAAGCAAACAGAAGAAATGATGAAGTAAAAGAACTGAACGGAAGATTTCAAAGGGCTGTTCGAGAAGACAAAGTATTATAATGAAATGTGCAAAGACCTGGAGTTAGAAAACCAAAAGGGAAGAACATGCTCGGCATTTCTCAAGCTGAAAGAACTGAAGAAAAAATTCAAGCCTTGAGTTGCAATACTGAAAGACTCTACAGGGAAAAGATTAAACGTTGCAGAAGCGTCAAAAGAAAATGGCAGGAATACACAGAACCACTGCACCAAAAAGAACTGGTCAGCGTTCAACCATTTCAGGAGCAGCATCTGATCAGGAACCGACGGTACTGCAGGAAGAAGTCCAAGCTGCACTGACGGCACTAGCGAAAAACAAGGCTCCAGGAACTGACGGATACCAACTGAGATGTTTTCAACGAACATATGCAGCGCTGGAAGAGATCCGTGTTTGTGTCCTTTCCAAAGAAAGGTGATCCAACAGAATGTGGACATTATTGAACAACATCATTAGTATCACACACACAAGCAAAATTTTGCTGAAGATCATTCAAAAGCGGTTGCAGCAGTACACTGATGAGGAGTGCCAGAAGTTCAAGCTGGATTCAGAAAAGGATGTGGAATGAGGGATATCATTGCTGATGTCAAGTGGATCCTGGCTTGAAAGCAGAGAATACCAGAAAAATGTCTACCTGTGTTTTATTGACTATGCAAAGAAGCATTTGATTGTGTGGATCGTAACAAATTATGGATAACATTGCAAAGAATGGGAATTCCAGACACTTAATGGTGCTCATGAGGAACGTATACATAGACCAAGAGGCAGTTGTTCAAACAGAACAAGGGAATACTGTGTGGTTTGAAGTCAGGAAAGGTGTGTGTCAAGGTTGTATTCTTTCACGATTACTTATTCAGTTGTATACTGAGCAAATAATCTGCAAACCTAGAGTATATGAAAAAAAACACAGATCAGGATTGCAGGAAGACTCATTAACAAACTGAGATATTCAGATGACACAACCTTGCTTTCTGAAAGTGAAGAAGCACTTCCTGATGAAGATCAAAGACTGCAGCCTTCAATATGGATTGCACCTCACCATAAAACAAAAATCCTCACAACTGGACCAATAAGCAACATCATGATAAACGGCGAAAAGAATGAAGTTGTCAAGGATTTCACTCAGATCCCCCCAATCAATGCCCATGGAAGCAGCAGTCAAGAAATCAAACGACGTATTTCACTGGGCAAATCTGCTGCAAAAGACCTCTTTAAAACATTCAAAAGCAGACAGGTCACTTTGGGGACTAAGTACCCTGACCCAAGCCATGGTATTTTCAGTCGCCTCATATGCATGCAAAAACTAGACAATAAATAAGGAAGACCAAAGAATTGATACCTTTGAATTATATGGCATTGGTGAAAAATACTGAATATACCATGGACTGCCAGAAGAACGAACAAATCTGTCTTGGAAGAGGTTCAGCCAGAATACTCCTTGGAAGCAAGGATGGCAAGACTTCATCTCATGTACTTTGGACATATCATCAGAAGGGACCAGTCCTGGGGAAGGACATCAGATTGGTAAAGAAGGTGGTCAGCAAAAAAGAGGAAGACCCTCAACAAAACGGACTGACACAGTGGCTGCAACAATGGGCTCAAACATAGCAACGATTGTGATGATGGCACAGGACCAGGAAGTATTTCGTTCTGTTGTAAATACGGTTGCTATGAGTTGGAACTGACTCTAGGGCACCTAACAACTAGCATATAAAATGAAACTCCACTAAGAAGGATGGGACACACACCTGAAGCTCCTCCATTAGCACACCACTGTTCTTTGTAGTGTACATGAAAAAATTATAGAGAGGTAAGTTCTCCTGCTAGCCGGAAGTCAGCTTATTCCTGAGTGCTCAAAATGGAATGTGCTACGGGAAAGGGGAAGTAGAGCATTGCCTTCTGGTGCTGCTGAACCCCCTGGGCAGGTTCCATCCATCCTGGTACTTTGGGTCCCTACAAACTGAGATTGCCAGGGCACTGGTTCTCAAACTCTGTTTGGCAGCAACAGGAGGCACCCTTACCCCGGTTCTCATGTGCTTGGGTTCTAAGATTTCATGCTAAGATTCCAGACCAGAGGTACTCTAGCATGCGTTGTTTGGTAAGGAATGATTACCACGTATCTTGAAGCTATTACAAACAAGAAAAGAAAAATCAGACACAAGCTTATAAAAAGTGGTCCAAGGCTTTCACCATGCCTTCTTCTGTTTCTTCTGTTTTAGGTGGATGGAGGTGATCCGCAGTGCCACCAGCTCGGCCTCACGCACCCACGTTTTAAGTCACAAAGAATCTCATGTGTATTGACGGCTGGACACACTTGTTGGCTGTGTCAGCAGTAGCTGCTTTCCAGAAGACGTGACTTCCTTCTGTACTCGTGACGCCTGGGAAAATTAACACCCGTCTGAAAAGTGAAAATGTGGTTTCACAGCAGCTCTCATCTGTCTCTGCAGAAGTGGTTTTCAACCTTGTCTGTCCGTGTTGATTTCTCATCTAAATGGAAGTGCTCCCACCTTCAGCCTGGGAGCCGTGCTGTCTGTCCTCCTCTTGGTGGGCTGTTTTCTAAGCTTGCGCCAGTAGTAGAACATTGTCATTACTATCGTGCCAAATGACATTTTTTCCTCAACTGCACCTTAAAGGCAGTACAAATATATCCGTTCAACCAACAGGACAAGTGCTCTTTCTGAAAAAAGAAACTTCTATTGTTCTGATCTAGAGGCTGTTGCATTTTAAAAATGGAATATGCATTTTCCAGTGTTTGCAATACACACGACTCAGTCTTAAGCAAATGAGATCATTTTCAGATTTCGTTTTTTTCAATCTTTCTACTTTTGTAATAATCGATCAGTAGGACTGCCTTCTTAGATTATAAGCATTCTGCAGCACGCAGCGTTCCACTTTGGGCTTCCACGCTCCAATGAAAACCCTTCGTATCAGACCCACTTCTTGGCGCAAGCTGACCAAACCGTTTGATTACTATTGACAGAACGTAGCGGGCTTGTTTTCTGTTCACAGAGAAGCAGAAACCCAGTGAGTGTCTGCGCTCACTGTCCCGTGAGCGGTGTAGACAGTGGGAAGATAGTAAGCCGCGGTGTTTTGCTGTTTGTTTCATGAGCATGAAAACTACCTGTATGTCACTGATCAGGGCCATGTGTGATATGTTACGTTATGGAGAGTTTTTGTGAGTTTATGTGGATGCAGAAACACTATAAGTAATGGTACGTAGTTTCCCCAGGCACCCGTTATTAACCTATATCCTACGGCAACTGTGGTCTGACACTGCGCATTTATAGTAGTCTATATCGTGCCTGTCTTCAAAAATCAACATTCTTTTCTCTTTTTATACTCACCCCCCTCCCCTGGCATAGGTACCAGCAGTATGACGTTGCACACCTTGACAGCTGGACAACACTGGGAACCTGGTTTCCAGCAAGGGCTGGGGCCCACTAGTTGAAAAATGTCTGCCTATTCTATTCTCTCTGGTGATCGGGAGGCTGCTATTCCCTTTTTACTGAAGGTCCTTTCTAAAGCAAGTCTGACACAATCCAGAGGGAGAGGTCACGTCCACATAGTTCTCAGCCAGCATTCCGCACCACAGCTGGGAAAGCCTGTCTCATTCAGAAACACGCAGGAAACAGACTTTGGGGAGCTGGGCATGTGGGCATGGCAATTTACAGACGGACGTATAGCTTGAGACTTGTTAATCATTTGCCTTACAATATGTACCAGATGGTTTTAAGTACTAACAAAAGGGAATAAAAATACCTCACGCCACAGTCCAGCAAAGTTTTAAGGCAAAACAACCAACTCTGTCTGTTGTCTTTATTTTCATCAAATGTGTGCGGCAGGGCCAGGGGTGGGTACGGGCCACCACCACCACCCACCTGCTGGTCAGGGGAAGGTGTCGGCTGTTCACATCAGGGTAGGTGTGATGGAGAAAGAGAACAGACTCAAAGAACACTTTTACAGAAAACTTACACAGTCTTTTTTCTTTCTTGAACTTGGTTGCTACTGGGGAAATAAAACACTTCTAGAAGGAGACCAACAATTAGCAGGTTACATAAAAGGCAAAGACTACTCAAGTGAAGGAGAGAGGCTGAGGCCACATCCCGTGAGGGAGGCAGAGCTGTGGAAGGCCCTGCAAACACAAGTGGGCACTGAGGCGTCTACAGCACCCTGCAGGCAGGACAAACATCCTGGAGATGTGAAACTGCAGTGCACTTGACCACGGTCACCAAGTGACTGGTCACTGAGCAGCCGAGACAGCACAGGTGGCACCAGAAAACTTCTCCCTCCAGAAGTCAGGAAGGACTCAGGGATGAGGTACTGCCCTCTCTCGGTATTTCTGAATGAGTCTAAACCACTTGCTGGGCACTGTGGTTCAGGTCTATGATTGGGCTCTCTGTGCTTCCTTGCCTGCAGCACCTGAGAACTAACTAGACCCCAGCTGAGTGCTGCCACTGTTCTTGCCGCCACCCTACCCAACATTTCCTGGAAAACTCTACCTGTAGAGCTGTACTCACACACAGGAAACCTTGAGTGTCTCTGTAAGTTTTCAGTTTAGCAACGAAAGATTCGAAAACCTGGACTTCAACTACAGGGGAAAAATATAAAGCACTATGTCTTCACCATCTGAATAAAGTGGGGGCGGGTGGGTGTCTCAGTTCCCCAGTGCTGCCATAACAAACACAAGTGAGTGACTGTAAAGAACAGAATTCTTTTTCTCACAGTTCAGGAGGCTGGAAGTCCGAGTTCAGGCTCTAGGGAGAGAGGTCCTTCCTTGTCCCCAGCTGCAGGAGTTCCTTGCTGCTCCTTGGAGTCTGTCCTCCCCCATCTGTGTCTGTCCTGGTCTTCTATAACTCAGAAGTGATTAGGTTTAGGATCCACCCTACACTGGTATGACCTCATTAACACAAAAGAAAACCCCTATTTCCAAACAAGGTCAGATTTACAGGTCAACACATTTTGGGGGACCACAATTCAATCTACAGCAGTAGGTATACGCATTACCTAACCCCTTGTGAACACAAAGGAAAGCTAAGTGAAAGTAACACGGGTAACTCAGACCCCTCCCAAACTGCCAGGACGGATGGACTTTCAGACACTCTACACACAAGACACATAATTACAAAAATAGTACTTTGCTGTGTACTTTTATTGAACCTTGCATCATACAGTCCCTGTGCTTAAGAACACCCTGTAACACACTCCCCATTTATTGCCATATTTTGTAGCAGAAATACAGAAACCATATTTTTAAAGGAAGTCAATATAAAAATGCTTATAAATTGACCGTACGTTTTACCAAAAGGTATAAAACACTACATAAAGAACTGGACTAGATACTTCACAAGACCACCTTGAAGACGGGTTACAAACCTGTTGGATTTGCAAGGGACATGGCATTCATTTCATCAAGAAAATGAGAAGAGCCCACACGAGCCATAGCTCCTAACCTGAGACCAGAAGAACTAGATGGTGCCCAGCCACCACTGCTGACCAGTCTGACCAGGGACCAAACAGACGGTCCCAGATAGAACGGGAGAAAAATGTAGAGCAAAACTCAAATTCCTTACAAAAGGCCAGACCTACCAGACCGATCGAGACTAGAGGCATCTGTAAGACTATCACCCTAAGATACCCTCTGAACTTGGAATTGAAGGTATTTCTTCAGGTCACCTTTCCTCCAAATAGATTGGCTTATAAAATAAACAATGTCACCATTGAGTTATGTCCCTTAATTAAACAATTAACTATATGAGCCCAAATGATCAACATTTACCGAAAAGCAAAGATGGGAAGGCAAGAAGGGGAAGGGAAGCTAGATCAATGGAAACAGAACAAACAAAGGAGAATAATAAGAATGCTGACGCAGTGTGAAAACCGTAAGCAGTGGCATGGAACAATCTGTATAAACAACTGTTAAAAGGGAACCTAATTGGCTGTGTAAACTTTCACCTAAAACACGATAAAATATTATTTAAAAAAAGAAGAAAACGAGAACAGCAGCTCTGTTACATTGCCAGGGCATCACAAACTACACTGGTGGCCCACCCCAGGGAATGCAATCGGCCAGAACGCAGAAAAGACAAATTCGAAACGAATACCCACCAGGCCAAACAGACCACAGCCACCACTCTGTCCTGCCACTCACTTTTGTATCGAACCAGTTTGCTACACCAAGCTGCATAAACATAGCCTGCAGTCTAGGTACACATGCCGCCGACAGATGGAGTTTGCCATTGACATCCTTCCAAGTGTTGGTCAATCCCTCTCGAATGCTGAGCCCACAGGTCGGCCTAAGTATCCACGACAGTCGATACTGGCTAAGGCAGGTTCATTTTTAGTTCCAGTACCTGGTCTCTCTCTTCCAAAGAAGGACCTGGAGTGGATACACAAATGCTAGGCTCCTCAGCTAGCCGAGATCCCCTTAAGAACATTTCAGCCGATTGTCTCTCTACAGAAAGTAACAAGCCAGAAGAGCTTATACAGGGGGTGATCAACTTTTAAAATCCAATCAAACCTCTTCCCCAGTAAGCTTAATATACAGAAGCAGCTTCTAATAAACTCTGCGTCATCTGCTGCTTTTCACAGGAGATGGAATTGTGCATTACAGTAGCCTAGTGATTGCAGAGTACCTATTAACTGTTCACACCAACATGCCTCCCCTATCAACATGACCATAGCTACTCACACTTGGGACTGGCTTCAGCATCCAAAGTCAGGACCTCATGGCCATTTGTAAATGTGAAGAGCTTTGTAAGTCATAAACTGGCTGGCTGGGCTGGCTTTCTTAAAACCAGCCAAGCAGCATACCTTGGGCGACACGGATTCATTGCTTTGAGTGGGAATCTTTCTCCTGCGATGGGCAATACCTTACAGAGGGAAATATTTTCCCCCAGCAGAATACTCTCTAGAAACATAAAACGTTCTCAAATTTTTTTTATTGTTCAAGCTAAAATTCTTGCTCCAGAATAATGCATACAGTAAGCATTAGCAATTAAGTTCTCCTTCTGGCCAAAATGCAGCCCTTACAGAAATAGTTTGACCTGAATCTATTTCTAACACAAAATTATGATTTAATTTCAGAGTTTAAAAACCAGACCCCATTAACTCATCTAGCCAATAACCACCGAAACTCTTCTGCCTCAGACCCCTCCCTTTCCCCCTGAAACTGAACAGCCACTAAGCCAGCAGATACTTATCTTCCATCCAGAAGTCTACCCAGTAACTTCCTTATTTCCCAAAGTCCTTTGTCTTCCCCCTCACGAACTGGCACTCCAACAACAAAGAAATGACAATAATTAGCATCAGCAAACACAAAGGAATGCCAGCTTAAGTCAGGCAGTCCAGAACTGCTATAAGAACGCTGTTTCCCATCCGAGAAACCAATGGATTATTTCCAGGCTGGCAAGGTCCTGCAGCAAGCCAAGAAAAATATGGCCACCCTGGCTGACACCCTAGTGGACCCAGGCTCCTTAAAAAAAAAATCAACGACCCTTCATGAAGGTCCCTCGGAAGAGGTACAGCAACGTTCCACCACATCTTCTCAAGGACAAGTTTTGGACAGTTGTACAGGGAGCTGACTGGGATACTCTGACTTTTGAATCTTAGCACTTCTTCCTTTGGTCTTCTGACACGTCTCATCACATACAACCACAACCACACACACACACAGAGCACATCTCTGCACATGCACATTCCTCTTAAGAGCCACATGTCAAGAAGAGTATGCAAAGTAAGTGTGTTATAAAATTTATTGGTGTAAGCATTTAGACAATTTTTAGGTGGGAAAGATGATACGCAGATTTCACTACAAGGTTCAACAGAAGATGATATTGAGAAGGACGGTACATCTGGCACAGGACCGGCAGTGGCACGATTCAAAACAAATGTTAAACGAGAGCGCTTCGTCGGGGAGAAACTTAAGGTAATAATTTAAAGCTTCATGAGGCAAGATATGTTCCAATTTAAAACACTAAGAAATAGTACCATCAATGAAAAAGGAAATCAACTTCTAAGTGTACCAAAAGGGACATAGGGCAAACGAGGAAAATTTGCATTTGTTGAGGTACAAATAGAGTTTTCCAGAAGAGGGGCATTAATTATTATTAATGGCAAACCCTGCAAATACAAAATGAAACCCAAATCACTGGTCACATAATTCCAAATTTACATGTTTAATAAAGGCAAGGCAATAGACTCAAGTTATGGCCTGTCAAATATTTACTCCACTGACATTATCTACAGAAGCACTTGGCCAATTTGTACACAGTGATTCTTTATGCACGCCAAAAGGGTTTCCGTAAAAATGACACTATATACAAATCTGTACACCGATCCACCACAGCGATTCTCCATCTCCCGGGGGGGAGTTATCAACTTAAAGCAGGATACCTGAGGTTTCATTTCTTCAGTTGCCTTATCATAATCCCAAATATACATTTCAGAGTTGGTTTCTGTTTTTAAAGACACTTTCCATGAATATGTGCACTATGGTTAAAATAAAAAAACAAAAACAGTAAAATAAAATGATCGCTTGAAGGAGCTGGCCCTCCCCACCCCGTCTGAGAGACTTCGTCTTGCTGCAGCACAGTGAGGAATGTGTGTCCCTGGACGGGGCGCGCCCGCGGCTTCGGGGGGACGCCCCGCAATCATGCACCTCTTCAGCGGAGTCAGCAAAGGGCTCTCGTTGACTTTTTTAAAAAGGAGGATGAGGAAGAAAAAAGGAAAAACCAAAACCCCAAATGCCAAAGAAATTTCAGTGGGATGAAGTTCCGCCGCCACTCAGAGAGTATCTGGGGAAAGAGAACAAGAGGTCAATAAATGTCATTTCTCCGACCCCACGCAACAATCCAAGTAACACAGTAAAGGAAACAAAACTGTAGTCATGACAGAAAATCTAAAGTCACAAAAAAAGTGGGATAAATATCAATGGGTTAATACATCTACTACATAGAGAATTCATAAAAATTCAGAAAAATCATGATTGCAACACCGACATTTTTCACAGACTAAATCCATAATAGCAGCGCATAAGTGAAATGTGCTCAGATTCTGTGGAGAACAAAGTGAAGAGCACAGTAATGACATACCCTTTATTTAGAGTCAATTTTGAAACTCAAAAAGCTATAGTATCCAATGATACAATCAGATTCAAGACATGCATACACACTGCTCATGTGACTCTGAATGCGGGAAAGCCTTTTTGGTCACGAAAATATTTATGCTTCTCCAAATAAATCCACTTCCTAGAACAGTTTCAGCAATGCAGTGCAGAAGAAGGAAGCATGCATTTGCATACAAATGTCTCCTAGGTTTTTTGTAATCATAATAAATTGGAAGGAACTTAGAAGTCCAAAATGGTTAAATAATCATAGCAAACTGAATGAAAGATTTAGAGATTAAAAACTGTACTTACCTAGATTTTAAACAATATGAAAAATATATACAAGTTAATGCTAAGAGTACAGAAAATTATGTGTGCACTCCAGTTTGCAAAAAGACAGATATGCAAAAAGACAGAATAAGCTTATGACTTACACATAACAATGCAAGGAAACACAAAAAGTTGATGATGATGATAATTGGGCTAGAGGGGTAGGATCATGGGTAGTTTCTTCTGTTCTCCAATAATTCTACAGTACTGTCGTAATACAAAAACGGTGAGGATGGGGGGTTTCCCGGTGGCCAGCAGATTCCTTCAGCCACCTCCAAGAACTGACTCGAAGCCACAGGGCCAGGAGATGGCTGAGGAGATACAGTAACAGGACACATCTCACACCCTCTAGACTCCAGAGTCTCTTTCACAGGGTTTTACATACTTAGCACTCTCTGGAGAACAATTACATAAGATCCTCCTGAAAATCACTCTTTAGTCACAAGTTCTAAGCCTCAAATTTCAAGAAATATCAATGACTAACTCATGGGAGGAGTTGATGTCACACAAACTAAGAAATACAGAAAGGCTTTGGAAAAGCTTTAAAAAGTCAGTGCTCATTTTTTCTAAGGTGACCCCCTAAAGTAATAAGCTTGAAAGCAGAACTGTCAAGAAGGATAAGCAATGGGTTCTGTGCGTCTGGCATCATTATCTGTGACAGACACACAAGTAAGAGATTGAGGAGTCCCAAAGAAGCCCCAAAGGCCTGCAGGGACAAGATAAGGACACAACCCCCACCCCAAGTCATCTGATGACTGATGAGGTGAAGAGAGGGGCACACATCACAAAGGGAAAGAAAGGAGAGAAAGAAATAACGTAGACCATCTCCACCTCAGAAACTGAAACAAAAATAACGTACACCTCAGGAAGGTACAGACTTGCACTGTCCAATATGGTAACCAAACCACACCCACTGCCGTCAAATCGATTCCGACTCGAAGCAACCCTACAGGACAGAGTACAACTGCCCCATAGGGTTTCCAAGGCTGTAACCTGTCGGCAAGCAGACTGCCACATCTTTCTCCCACGAAGCGTCTGGCGGGTTCGAACCTCTGACCGTTTTGGTTAGCAGGTGAGTGCTTTAAACACTGTGCCACCAGGGCTCCTAATATGGTAACACTAGCCACAGATGATTATCAGGCACTTGATGTGGTCAGTTCAAACTGAGATGAGCTGCCAAGTGCAAAATAGACACCAGATTTTAAAGACTTCACACAAAAACAAGAATGCAAAATATCTTATTAATTTTTATATTTGATTATGTGTTGAAATTTAAATAATATTTTGAATATACTGAATTGAAACCATTAAAACTATTTCCGCCTGTTTTCTTTTTACTTTTTTTAACGTGGTTATGTGTAATTTAAAATCGTATTTGTGGTGTACATTATATTTCTATTGGACAGGAACTACAGCAAGCAGAACAGAGATAAGGGGGCCCTGGGACTGGAAAAATGGAAAAATGACACATGCACAGACCAGACACTCGGTGCCCTTCACTGCTGGGAAAACAGAGTCGCGTATGCACATCATTCACAACTTCAGGTAATTCTAGGCAATACGGAAAGTACCAGCGCCCTAAAAGCGACAACAAAAAAGCAGAAAACAAAATCCAAAACAAGAGAACCCAGTTTCTGGTCTAGTTCTCTCTGTCTGGCTCTCAACTAAATGACACCAGAATGAGGTATGGAGAAGTGATATACCAAGCATCTTTGAGAAATCAGAAAAATGGACCAATATTAAGTGGCAGGGGGAAGGCTTATGTAATAATACACAATACTACAAGCTAAAAACTCAAGAAGTACTAAAACTTCTACGACACAGGCATACTGGACAGACACACAAACATGATGTTGTTAACTGTGTTCGTGTGAGAGTATGGGTAACTTCTTAAAATTCTATTTTCCTTTATTCCTTTAATGTTGTGATACTGCTTTCAGGACCCAAAATAAATAAAGAGAAAAAAAAAATTACCCAAAAGAATAATAATTGATTCCTTCAGTCACCTCAAAACTGAAGGCCATCAATTAAAAAGAGTTTTTATTTTCTAAACTTTAAAGCCAGTTAAAAAGTTGAAATGTCTTTTATGAAGGAGTCCAAGTTCAGGAGAAGAAACCCACACCCCGAAGTCAGGACTGTGGTTCTCTCTTGATGGCCCCTGGGCGGGACCCCTCACGGGACAGCAGGCAGCCTCTTCTACCTCACTGCCCCCGCTGTGACAAGGCAAAGCCAGAGGCACCCCAATGACCGCTCGGCCTAGCACACAGAGGCATGGGGGCGCGGGGGGCTTCTGGCATGCAAGTGCATGCTCGACACACCGTCACCACCAAGGGTCCCGGACAGGAGCAGAGTGGGGAACTGGATGGCCAAGAAAGGAAAGAGCAGGTCCCATGACCATTCTCATCTCCTTTATTGAGCCAAAACTTTTGGCATTTCTGGACACTTCCCTTTAAAGCACAAAACCAAACTGAGAATTACAAGCCTGGGGCTAAGGATCATGCTCTCCAGCTAATTGGGCTGCACCATCAGGAGCAGGCAGCTCTGAGTCACCCTGTGTTTATGGGGCAGAGCTACAAACGTACAACGCCCTGTGGTCCTTTCCAATAGTGTCCAGGTCCACGTCACTGGACTTCTACAACTGAGAACAAAGTCTTCTCTAACTTGACTCTGCTTCAACCCTGTGGCCTATAAGGTAACAGAAACAGATCAAGAACAAAGAACCAGGATGGCGACTTGAGTTATGGTCCCTTTGAAAGGGTCCCTGCTCCCAGCCACGGAAATCCATGGAGAAAACACAGAATGTCCTCCATGAAGGTTGCTGGTGGCAGTTACCTCTGGAGCCGCTGGACGAGCTGGGCCACCATGGTGTCGGAAATCCCGGGGCACGCCTCTTCTGCCAAGTAGATGGCCCCTCGCAGTTCTTCGATGGACCCCATGTTGCCGCCACACGCCTGGCTCTTCTCTTTCAACTGAGAACACAGACAGGAAGAACAACATGGCGTGCGTGGACTCCCAAACCAAGGGGTACCGAATTTAAGGGGCAGTACAATGTGCGGACCACAGCACCACTCCGCCAGGCAGCGTCTGTGCAGCCGCTTCGGCAGCTCACCTCCTTTCAAGGGAAGGCTCTGTGAATGCCCTGAGAACGTCAGGTATAGAAATGGCAGCAGTCTGACCTC